TGCCCTAATACAGCATAATATTTAAGTGCATACTTAAATTTAAGTAGGTAATCTGATCTCATTAGGACTACTGATGTGCATCAAGTTACTCACATACTTAAATGCTTTGCTGGAGCAGAGGTCTTAGCATCTTGTAGGATCCTGTGCTAGGAAAACTAGAAATTCAGCAGGTCAAGAGACAGAATGGCTCATGCAACATAATAAATAGAGGGGAAAAAGACTTTTTTTGTGTGTGGGGGGGAAACTAATCAACCAATCAATCAAATCTACATAAAAGCACACAACAGCAGTGAGCAAGTTCTACACCGAATCAATTTAAATTATTTTATATATTTTTTAAATTACTTACTATAGCTTAATCTTTATTTTTCAGGTCATACATGGATGAGAAATATAAATTGGACAAACGTGAAGGAGAAATACATACATTTTGTGCATCCTGTTAAAAGAGTACTCTGTTTTATGATTTTATTTTTGATCCTTGAAATATGTTTTCTTTCAGGTAGCTTTCTTACTACTTATTTTCATCATTATTAATGGAAGTCAATTTAAAGTTTAACAAAAATCTTTATGAATGTTACAATGTAGCTTTCTTGTAATCTGCTACACATTCATAGCATAGCACTTTAGTGCACTGTGAACATGGAAAACTTTAGAAAAAAGTCCTCTCGAGTAAAAACGTATATGGAAAATAAGTGACACCAAATTAGACAGATAGCACCATAGATGATAACTCCAGCTGCAGAAATGAAATGGCTGAGTGTGGTCAGATACACTAACTAGTGACCTTGGGATGGAGTCAGACTCCGACAAGGAAAGAAAATAAATGAATCTGCAGCAAAAGAAAGAATCTCCATGTCTTGTCTGACAGAAGATACAAATAGTAAATAATAACCTTTTTCCACATTATCAGCTGCAACCCATGGGGTGCAGCCTGTGGGAAGGGACAGTGAACTCCCAGGTGCAGAACCTCACAGACTCCTGAGGTGAATGGGTAAGCCCAGATACTGCAACATCGCTTTAAGGGGTGACACATAGTCTCTTTTTCTCCTACACCCACCTCCCCATGGGCTTTGCTCACTTCCCCTCTCTCCCCAATCCTCATAAGCACTGTTCAGCCCCAGGTAGAAGATAGAAAAGTGCAAGGTCTACGGCCTGAACACAGGGATTTTAATCGTTCTAGGCCCTTTATCAGGTCATGCAAGAGGGAAGTTTCTTAGCCCTCTTTCACCTCTGTGCACCTGTGTGAGAGTGGGCAGAATCTAGCTCTAAATGTGTCTCTATTCCAAATTACCAATATTACAGGAATATCATGTGATTTACTTGTGAACATGAAGAATTACTAAAACGTACATAATCTAAATAAGCAAATAACGAAGCAATCAATTTGCAAACATCTAGAAGATAACAAGGTGATAAGTAACAGTCAGCATGGATTTCTCAACAACAAATCATGTAAAAACAAACTGATAGCTTTCTTTGACAGGTAACTAGCCTTGTGGATGGTGGGAAGTGGTAGACATGGGTATATCTTGATGTTAGTATAGCTTTTCATACTGTTTTGCATGATCTTCTCATAAACGAACTAGGGAAATGCAACCTAGATGGAGCTACTATAAGGTGGGTGCAAAACTGGTTGGAAAACCATTCCCAGAAATTAGTTATCAATGGTTCACAGGCATGCTGGAAGGGCATAAGGAGTGGGGTCCCGCAGGGATCGGTTCTGGGTCTGGTTCTATTCAATATCTTCATCAGTGATTTAGATAATGGCATAGAGAGTTCACTTATCAAGTTTGCAGACTGTATCAAGCTGGGAGGGGTTGCAAGTGTTTTGGAGGAGAGGATTAAAATTCAAAATGATTTGGATAAACTGGAGAAATGGTCTCAAGTAATTAGGATGAAATTCAATAAGGACAAATACAGAGTACTCCATTTAGGAGAGAACAATGAGTTGCACACATACAAAATGGGAAATGACTGGCTAAGAAGGAGTACTGTGGAAAGGGATCTGGGAGTCATAGTGGATCACAAGCTAAATATGAATCACCAGAGTAAAGTGTTTCAAAAAAAGCAAACAGCATTCTGAAATGTATTAGCAAGAGTGTCGTAAGCAAGACACAAGAACTAATTCTTCCACTCTACTCTGTGCTGATTAGGCCTGAACTAGAGTATTGTGTCCAGGTCTGGGTGCCACATTTCAGGAAAGATGTAGACAAATTAGAGAAAGTCCAGAGAAGAGCAACAAAAATGATTATAGGTCTAAAAAAAAAAAAAAGACCTATGAGGCAAGATTGGGAAAAAAAATGGGTTTGTTTAGTCTGGAAAAGAGAAGACTGAGAAGGGACATGATAACTCTTTTCAAGTACATAAAATGTTACAAAGAGGAGGGAGAAGAATTGCTCTTCTTAACCTCTGAGGATAGGACAAGAAGCAATTGTCTTAAATTGCAGCAAGGGAGGTTTAAGTTGGACACTGGGAAAATCTTCCTAGCTGTCAGGGTCATTAATCACTGGAATAAATTGCATAGGGAGGTTGTGTAATCTCCATCACTGGAGATTTTTCAGAGCAAGTTAGACAGACACCTGGCAGGAATGGTCTAGATAATACTTAGTCTTGCCTTGACTCTAGGGGACTAGACTAGATGACTTCTTGAGGTCCCTTCCAGTTCTGTGATTCTATGATTCTATAATCTGTCTTCTGGTTTTATTTTTAAGCTCGGGCTGCAACAGGTGAGATCAGCGATCACTCTGGTAAGTAATCTCAGAATTCCCTTTGTGCTACATATGTCTTATATGTACTTTGTTGTCACAAACAGATGCATTTAGTTTGGAGAATTAAATCTGCACTGGGGTGAATTGCAGCCACAGAGAACAGTGATACTATTAATGACTGGTAAGGGAAATTGTAATCTGTGAAGAATATCATAGTTTGTGGGACAAATATCAGAAGCTGGAGAGTCAGAACAAAGACAGTAATTAATACATTTCATTTAGAGTCCAGACACTTTAAATTCACAGTTTTTTCACACCACAGTTACTTCATAGTTTTATTTTGCAATATACACACCTACCCCAAAATGTATCCAAAAGTGTAACTTTGAAGTAAATATAGTGTAACCCTTCGGCCAGGTGGAGCTGGAAGCAACCAGGGCCGGGTTCAATATCTAGGGGTTCCTTTACAACACCATGACACAGAACCGGCTTGAGACCCCACCCAGTAGTCTGGCAAAATTACACACCACCCTGGGTGCCTCTGAGAAGCAAAACTTCCCCTCTTACAAGCACACAGTCTGAGTGTAGAATAGAAACTTTTAATGAAAAGAGGGAAGTCACCTGACATTAATTAGGGGACATGCCACAAGCAGGATTCATAAACATAACATTATGAGCGGGTCACCCACCCCAGAGTGTATGGGGCAGTGTCTTCTGCTTCACGTTCTTGAGTTCTACAACCAAAAGTTCCTTTTCTGTGCCTCTCTCTGCTCCCTGACCTTACCTCACTCACAGTGGTTGTCCTTGGTCAGTGAGGACCCAGGGTTCAGAGGTGCATATCTGTGAGGTCACCTCCCACACATTGAAAAAGGCACTTGGCTTGCACTACCATCTGAGCACTTGTTCTGGTTGACTGCCCCACCAGCTGCTTGCTCCATTCCACTGGGCACCTTGCCAGCTGCTCATTCCACTCTGCCTGCTGCCTCTCCAGCCACTGTTCTGCTTGCTGGTCACCTTCTGCCACCTGCTTCTCTGCTGTGACCTCTGCAGATCAGTTAATTGAACTCTCAAGAGACTCTTAGTGATTGTCAGCTCTTAGCAAGGCAGGCTGGGCAGAAATGCTGTCCTACCACAAGTGTTTTCAGCTCTAGTGAGCACTTAACATAACAACTCCTAATGGGACCTATTTAGCTCTATCTTTGAACAGTGGGGAAGGAACAGGTTAAACCAGACGGAGGACCCACCACATCTGCTAGCTAGGACACCTGTCCCCACCCCTCTTACTTTCAAAGGGCTCTGGCATTTGAGCCCCTGGTTTAATGAGTCCTTTTCAAATGAGGGTGAGCCCCTCAATCAGGACAGGCTAAGCACAGTTCTGCTATCCTTTACTTATAAAATAAAAATAACAACATTGATAACAGAATTTCACTACCCCTGCATTCAATACTAAAGTGATTTGTAACCCAACACCAGCCAAAGCTGATCACTTTGAGCTACACAACTGTCTGCTGGATATCTATGCAGAATAGATGTGTTCATGTAAATACAGTTTGCTCCTGAAGTCTCTCCCCCTCCCAAACTAGCTGTCAGGCGAGAGTTCATTCAGACCCTGCTTACAGTAGTGTAAATGCAACATAATTCATGTATCTGCATTCTAACAAACCAAAACAACCTCCAGTCTAATCAACAACATATGCATAGCTAGAGAATTTCGAAGACACAAAAGACAGTTAAGCACCCAACTGTCATTGACTTTCAGTGGGAGTCAGGAGCCTAAAGTCTTTGGTGCTTTTGAAAATCTCCTCCAACATGAACAAGAGTGTTAATCGGAGTACCGGTGGTGGGAGGAAGAGGTCAGAGACCAAAAGCACAGTTATGAACAGAAGATAAGAGGACAGTCCTAACATTTTCACACTCAGCATAACATTGTCCCGCAGCAATCTTTTCACCAAGGTGCTTGGGATTAAAAGGAAGAATGGAGGACGAACATAATGACCAATACAAGGTATAAATTATTTTATCCTGGCACAAGAGATAAAGGAAGAGGATTCAAAAGTTTGCGCTCATTATTATCTGAAAATAGGAAGTCCTACCCAGAAGAGTATTCAGGGCTTCATTTCTAAACTGGGAGAGGATGCGAAGAGAATCACTGATTAGAAATGGGGAGGTGAGAGGATCGAAGAAGAGGAAGGGCTGGCACTGCAGGGAAAGAAGATGTTACCGCACTGCATGACTCCAGTTCATGGAGAAGGCAGATGCAAATGTTTCCTCACCTGACACCTCTTCGATATGGAGGCCTGCAGAGGTTGTGATGATGGACCCTATGCAACATGCAGCTACAACATGATGCAGCAACACCCTGAGCAGTGCACCTGTTTGGTGGAGAAAGAGGCCATCCTCTACCAGAGGAGGGGGTAATGGCAGGCTCTGGAATTTGCTGGACTGTAGAGCACCTAGCACAATGGGGTCCTGGCATGTGACTAGGGCTTCTAGATACTGCAGTAATACAGACAAACAGTAATAAGGGCAATATTAACATTCAGAGACAACATCTCCCTGAGGAAAAGCAGAGGCAGGAGTGAGTGTGACCCACAGAGATCCAATGTCTTTTGACTGGCATCTCTATTCTGCCATGCAGAACCACATGGTCCATTCCTCTGGCCATAGCTTAGGGAAGGAGGGGGAAAGGATACCCTCTACGGGAACAGAAAGGCTCTGCAATCATAGAATCATAGAATATCAGGGTTGGAAGGGACTTCAGGAGGTCATCTAGTCCAACCCCCTGCTCCAAGCAGGACCAATTCCCAACTAAATCATCCCAGCCAGGGCTTTGTCAAGTCGGGCCTTAAAAACTTCCAAGGAAGGAGATTCCACCACCTCCCTAGGGTAAAGAATTCTAGTGCTTCACCCCCCTCCTAGTGAAATAGTGTTTCCTAATATACAAACTAGACCTCCCCCACTGCAACTTGAGACTATTGCTCCTTGTTCTGTCATCTGCCACCAGAGAGAACAGCTGAGCTCCATCCTCCATAATCATTTTTGTTGCCTTCCACTGGACTCTTTCCAATATTTCCACATCCTTCTTGTAGTGTGGGGCCCACAACTGGACACAGTATTCCAGATGAGGCCTCACCAATATCGAATAATGGGGAACGATCACGTTCCTCGATCTGCTGGCAATGCCCCTACTTATACAGCCCAAAATGCCATTAGCCTTCTTGGCAACAAGAGCACACTGTTGACTCATATCCAGCTTCTTATCCACTGTGACCCCTAGGTCCTTTTCTGCAGAACTGCTACCTAGCCATTCGGTCCCTAGTCTGTAGCAGTGCATAGGATTCTTCCATCCTAAGTGCAGGACTCTGCACTTGTCCTTGTTGAACCTCATCAGTTTTTTTTGGCCCAATCCTCTAATTTGTCTAGGTCCCTCTGTATCTGATCCCTACCCTCCAACGTATCTACCACGCCTCCCAGTTTAGTGTCATCTGCAAACTTTGCTGAGGGTGCAGTCCACACCATCCTCCAGATCATTAATAAAGATATTAAACAAAACTGGCCCCAGGACCGACCCTTGGGGCACTCTGCTTGAAACTGGCTGCCAACTAGACATGGAGCCATTGATCACTACCCGTTGAGCCCGAAGATCTAGCCAGCTTTCTATCCACCTTACAGTCCATTCATCCAGCCCATACTTCTTTAACTTGGCGGCAAGAATACTGTGGGAGACCATATCAAAAGCTTTGCTAAAGTCAAGGAATAACACATCCACTGCTTTCCCCTCATCCACAGACCCAGTTATCTCATCATAGAAGGCAATTAGGTTAGTCAGGCACAACTTCCCCTTGGTGAATCCATGCTGACTGTTCCTGATCACTTGCCTCTCCTCTAAGTGTTTCATAATTGATTCCTTGAGGACCTGCTCCATGATTTTTCCAGGGACTGAGGTGAGACTGACCAGTCTGTAGTTCCCCAGATCCTCCTCCTTCCCTTTTTAAAAGATGGGCACTACATTAGCCTTTTTCCCGTCATCCGGGACCTCCCCCGATCGCCATGAGTTTTCAAAGATCATGGTCAATGGCTCCGCAATCACATCCGCCAACTCCTTTAGCACCCTCAGATGCAGCACATCTGGCCCCATGGACTTGTGCTCGTCCAGTTTTTCTAAATAGTCCCGAACCACTTCTTTCTCCACGGAGGGCTGGTCACCTCCTCCCCATACTGTGCTGCCCAGTCCAGCAGTCTGGGAGCTGACCTTGTTTGTGAAGACAGAGGCAAAAAAAGCATTGAGTACATTAGCTTTTTCCACATCCTCTGTCACTAGGATGCCTCCCTCATTCAGTAAGGGGCCCACACTTTCGGTTTCTTTCAAGGAGAGAAATTTGGTATTTCTTTATCAAAGCCCCTGTTAGCTCTCTCTCCCTCTGTTCCAACTCTGGCCTTGCCACATTCAGGATATTTTGTGGTTTTAATATCCTAACAAAGGGACATCTTCTTAAAGTTAACCTAAAAAGGGGGCAGGGGAAAGCTGGCTTTTCTGCCTTTTTTAGCTTCTATATAATGGCTGAAGGATTCCTGCAATTTCATATATTTATTCTTATGCATGCATTTTTACATGACAAATTCCAGCCCTGTCTAAGCTGTAAGATTCTATTATCACTGATGAAGTAGTGTAATTATGACATCAAAAGAGCCAAGATTGTGACAGTGAAGCAGTTGGGAAAGAAAGATTTTTATTCAGACACTTTTTCATTGTTGATATCTATTTAACTTCAATGACTAACATTTTGGAGAAAAAGACTCTTTTTAAAGAGCCAATATTCTAATTCCCTTGATTACATCATGTGTAGTTAACGACTTGCATTTTCTAAGATCCTCAAGAAAACTTCTAGAAAACTAGAGAGATCAGAGTTGATATTCCTGTTAATCTGATATTTCAAAGATAAAAAGCAAGCAGGAATAAAATAAAATATACTTTCAGGCCCTGTGTGTGCATCATGAAATGTATGTGGGCAAGAGCACTGATGGCGGTGGAGTCAGAAGCCTGAGAGTGCAGGCCCTTTCTGGACCACACAGGGTGAATAATGGACTATAAAATGGATTGAAAGCTGGCTAGACTGTCGGGCTCAACGGGTAGTGATCAATGGCTCCATGTCTAGTTGGCAGCCGGTTTAAAGCGGAGTGCCCCAAGGGTCGGTTCTGGGGCCGGTTCTGTTCAATATCTTCATTAATGATCTGGAGGATGGCGTGGACTGCACTCTCAGCAGGTTTGCAGATGACACTAAACTGGGAGAAGTGGTAGATACGCTGGAGGGTAGGGATAGGATACAGAGGGACCTAGACAAATTAGAGGATTGTGCCAAAAGAAACCTGACGAGGTTAAACAAGGACATAATATAATAGAGATATCCTGTCTCCTAGAACTGGAAGGGACCTTGAAAGGTCATCAAGTCCAACCCCCTGCCTTCACTAGCAGGACCAAGTACTGATTTTCCCCCAGATTCCTAAGTGGCCCCTTTAAGGATTGAAGTCACAACCTTGGGTTTAGCAGGCTAATACTCAAACCACTGAGCTATCCCTACACTTAGGAGAGAAGAATCCCATTCACTGTTACAGACTAGGGACTGAGTGGCTAGGCAGCAGTTCTGCAGAAAAGGACCTAGGGGTTACAGTGGATAAGAAGCTGGATATGAGTCAACAGTGTGCCCTTGTTGCCAAGAAGGCTAATGGCATTTGGGGCTGTATAAGTAGGGGCATTTCCAGCAGATTGAAGGATGTGATCATTCCCCTCTATTTGCCAATGGTGAGGCCTCACCTGGAGTACTGTGTCCAGTTTTGGCCCCACACTCCAAGAAGTATGTGGAAAAATTGGAAAGAGTCCAGCGAAGGGCAACAAAAATGATTAGGGCGCTGGAGCACATGACTTATGAGGAGAGGCTGAGGGAACTGGGATTGTTTAGTCTCCAGAAGAGAAGAATGAGGGGGGATTTGATAGCTGCTTTCAACTACCTGAAAGGGTGTTCCAAAGAGGATGGATCTAGACTGTTCTGAGTAGTAGCATATGACAGAACAAGGAGTAATGGTCTCAAGTTGCAGTGCGGGAGGTTTAGGTTGGATATTAGGAAAAACTTTTTCACTAGTAGAGTGGTGAAGCACTGGTGGTGGAATCTCCTTCCTTAGAGGTTTTTAAGGTCAGGCTTGACAAAGCCCTGGCTGGGATGATTTAGTTGGGATTAGGTCCTGCTTTGAGCAGGGGATTGGACTAGATGACCTCCTGAGGTCCCTTCCAACCCTGATATTCTATGATTTTATGAATACAGGTATGAATGTTGACCTGTGACAACACCAACACCCCTCCCTGCAGCACAGCGCCCTGTGGTGCTATGTAGGAGGTGACATGGATGAGAGTTACCTGAGCACACAACACCAGCATCTTCTCCATGGTTACAGTTATGGTCTCCCCAAGTTCTAGCCCTGCATTCTGAGAGGGCAGCTTCCATTCCTGTGCAGTGAACCTCATCCAGCCAGATAGGGTCAGATCCTTGTCCAAACCAAGCTTCCCCAGGGGCTGATATTGCCATCCCACAGCCCAGCTGCCTGCAAACGACTTAAGCATCATGTAAGTCCCAGCCACTATCACACACGGTTCCCCACTGCTGGTTATGAAGCACCTCGACTCTCCCAGTACAGTGAGTTGAGCCATTCACCAGTCGGATCAGAGCCTCTTCTTTAATGGGGAAAGATACAAACATCCCACTGGTTAAATACTCAGAGATTCCTGTGCATCCAATCACTACCAATTCTGGAGAATTTAGTGTCTCAGAGTGGCATACTAAGTGCCATATATGATGTGAAAAGCAGAAAGGTTACCCGAGAGCTCAACTTGGCATCTTGTCCATGGTTGCCTTGTTAGAGTTCAAGGGTTAAAAAGTCTATAATCACATGGAATGATGAGGTTAAGAGACCGACTCTTAACAAAAGGATCCGAGGTTTCTAGTCCTGTGAGCAATTGCAGGCTCCATGTCACACCTAATCTGACCAGTGAGCTCTGATGCCATATGGCACCCCATTGTGCTTTCTTTGAACAGTGGGATCATTGCTGAGGCAGATGGTAAAACACCTCTCATTCCACAGTGGAGCACCGCACTGTGGAAATATCAGTGAATGATGCACCCCCTACTTTGTCACCAATGCCACATCTGGTAGTCAAACAAAAAAGAGTCCCACTGAATTTCATGGCATTAAAAGAGAAAGAGAACTAGATAAGTTCATCGAGGATAGGTCCATCAATGGCTATTATTCAGGATGGGCAGGGATGGTGTCTGCCCCTAGCTTTTGTTTGCCAGAGGCAGAAACAAAAACATTTGGGGAACTTTTTCAGCAATAATATGAGTATTGGGTGAATTTAGGCACCTACAGGGTTCAGCAGCAGCCAAAGAGTAGTAAGTTCATGGATCACCATGTCCCCTGAGAGCAGGACTTAGGCACCTAAGTCTAGGGAGAGGTGCCTAAGTCCAGTACTGGCAAAACATGTTAGTTAGTATGTTAGCTAGCATATTTTAAGAAACACTTTTAAATCTGGCGAACACACATTTTTAGGCAAATATGAAAATATCAACTGTCATTCTAAAGCGCCGGGTCCTGTGAGCAGATGATTAACTTTATTACCCTGAGTACTCGCATTGGAAGCAAATGAAGTTGAGGATACACATAAGTGTTTGCAGGATTGAGACCTTACATAGATGAAATAGTTTTTTTTTTTTTTAAATGTTTGTGTTGCTCCTTAAAGTGATATTACAGCTTCCTGGCTGGTGTAAATCTAATGTGAGCTGCTTGAGCAATGTTTTGTATCTGAAATGGTAATATCTTTCTTACAATATTGTATAATCACTGGATGATTCTTCTACCACAGATTGGATTCAGATACTTATTCTGATAGTAGTTGTCCTGATCTTCATCATCTCTGCCATCAACCTGTCCATCAGTTATAAACCTGAGTATTGTGGTAAGAATTTGCACCTTAAAAACTATTGATTGGTATAATATATTTTGAATACATTTAGGAACTGAGTTGAAATTTTATCTTAAAATTGTTACTCCTGCTGGGATCACACATTCCTATATTGACAAATGGATTTGGATTACTAAATACCAATGACATGGCTTTGACAGTCATTCTTCTTCAAGTGGCCCCTGCATATTCCCACTTGTAGGATCAAGGCACCTGGGCCGGGAGATACCGTAATGTTCTGGAAGGCAGCCTCTGTTGGAGTCACTCACACTTCTCTCCCCTCCCAGTGGTGTAAAAGGAGAGGAGCCCCAACCACCCTTCAGCTCCTTTCTACCACGTAAAGAACAGCGAGCTCCAATCAATCACACACAGGATCCTCCAAGCTGCTCTCATTGGGTTTCTTTCTTTCTGCCCTTCGGACGCAAATGTTACTTACAGTAGATCAATTGTCACTTGGTCTGATTTCCTGTAGAAAAAGAGGAGAAAAGCAGATGCCCATCCAGGATGGGCTTTGACTGGACCCTTGGAAGTGGGAGGGCTACCTTGCACGCCCATCAAGTCCAGTCCATTGAAGTCTCGTCATCTTTAAGTCCAGCATCCATATAAGGATCCACTCACCAGCATGGTCCCTGGGTTGCTCCAGCTTGACCCAACAGGCTTGGCTGTGAGGCAAACTCTCAGCCAATCTAGGGCTGGTCACTCGGCTGTTTCCCTGAGTTTGCACTCAGCAGGACTGGCGGTGAATCACCCCTCAGGCATGTGGCAGCAACATATCACAAAGCGGAGATGGGGTCAGATGACCCTAGGCTCAATTATTTTCACAATGCCAGCAGAGCTGCAGATGAGTCTGAGCAACAGCACTACCGAGCCAGGAACCCTCCTGCTGCCTTGCAGTGCAACTAACTATAGCAACTACCAGACCTTGCCCCTGCCCCTGCTCCTCTGCCTGCTCCTGTAACAGAGTTGCTTCAGCCCTGCCCTTGCCCTGGACTAGCCTTATTCCAGTCTCATCACTGACCCGCTCCAGCCTGGACTCTGTCTTCTTATCCTCCTAAATCCTGACACCTGGCTCTGGTCTCTATCCTCATTTGGCTGCAGACTTTGATCTCAGTTTTGATGCTGATCCTACCCTAGATCGTGATTCAGTACAACCCCTAGCTCAGGCCCAACATTAAACCGAGCTGTGACTCATGATCCAACCACTAGGTAAGATTGTTGGAAGCAAGGCCTGATATATCAGTCTAGTTTCTTATTTTTCATACCCTTCCCTTGCAGCTAAAACTGAATTTTCCACTTTAAAATCAGAAAACTCCATTCTGGAATGGAAGCAGAAACAGAGAATCTGATATTTAAAAATTCGGATAGGGGCAGAATTTGGAGCCAAGGAGAGGTGGAGTACAAAGACAATGGGAGGAGAGATAGTGTCTCTGGAAGGGATAGGAAGAAAATACACTGATATTTGGAGGACAATGAAGAGGGAATAAGAGAAGAATTGCACCCTCAGCAAGTTCGCAGATGACACTAATCCAGGGGGAGAGATAGATACTTTGGAGGGTAGGGATAGGATTCAGAGGCACCTAGACAAATTGGAGGATTGGTCCAAAAGAAATCTGATGAGGTTCAACAAGGACAAGTGCTGAATCCAACACTTAGGAAGAAAGAATCCCATGCACTGCTACAGGCTGGGGTCTTACTGTCTAAGCAGCAGTTCTGCTGAAAAGGACCTGGGGATTACAGTGGATGAGAAGCTGGATATGAGTCAGTAGTGTACCCTTGTTACCAAGAAGGCCAATGGCATATTGGGCTGTATTAGTAGGAGCTTTGCCAGAAGATTGAAGGAAGTGATTATTCCCCTCTTTTTGGCACTGGTGAGGCCACACCTGGAGTATTGCTTCCAATTTTGGTCCCCCCACTACAGAAGGGACGTGAACAAATTGGAGAGAGTCCAGCGGAGAGCAACAAAAATGATTAGGGGGCTGGGGCACATGACTTAGGAGGAGAGGCTGAGGGAACTGAATCATAGAATCATAGAATATCAGAGTTGGAAGGGACCTCA